TTTTACTTTATTGTTCAATAATCTGATTTAATTACCTTTGTCACAAAATCTCTATATTCCTCCGTAATGTAACGTAACGTAAAATTTTCGTGCGTTGCCGTACATTCAGCTTACGTCTCACGTAACGTAAGGTTGTCACGTAAGATGGCGTAAGGAACTAGGGCAATGTTCGTGTGCAGGAGCCATTAGGCTTCACTTCCGCAACAATGCGCTCCATCTATATATTCTTACGTCCATGATTAGTTGATACATCATTGACTTGGTTTACATCGTACACTTGATACGCGTACTATATAGTAACTTTCTATTAAATAATCTTAATATTGACAATGCATATCATCGATGACGCATTTAATCGATACAATACGTTTTCTTGATGAGTATTGTACCAGTTTAATATACTGTTGTTTATATATATCGTCGATATTAAGATTATCTAATAAAAAGTTACTATTTAATACGCGTATCAAGTGCATGATGTAAATCAAGATATTATATATGTGAATCGACCTTAATTCTTAGATAAAAGCTTGGTTTACATCGTGCACTTGATATGCTTACTAAATAGTAATTTTCTATTAGATAATCTTAATATCAACGATATATATAAACAACAGTATATTAAGCTGGTATAATACTCATCAACAATTATATTTATTGAATACGTCGCCGTTGATATGCATTGTCGATATTAAGATTAGTAGAAAGTTACTATTTAGTACGCGTATCAAGTGCACGATGTAAACCAGGCCAATGCATATCAACGACGATGCATTCAATTGATACAATATGTCTTCTTGATGAGTATTATACTAGTTTAATATACCGATGTTTATATGCATCGTCTATATTAAGATTATTTAATAGAAATTTAGTATTTAGGACGTTTATCAAGTACACGATGTAAACCAGGCCTATGAATTCTGATATAAAGGGAGATGTTCGACTGAGCAGTGCAATGCGTTTGCGACGCACTCCGACAGTTGGAATAGCTGCTACCTACTTTAGCACGCGTCACTAATTCGCCTTATCTCTTTCTTTTTCTTTCGTTTCTTCTTCTCTACCATACTATCGCGCGTGGTGGAACAGTCGAGTTAACGCGACCGTGACTCGCGCAAGTGTCGGCTCGGTTCAGCTCAGTATAGTTTACCTCAGTTCGCATCGACCGCGTGCACGTTTTAGTGTGTGAATTCCTGAACAGACTCGATTGATTGAGAACTCTCATTCGTTGCCATCTTGCTTGCTTGACACGTGTATATACGGGCGAGACGAGATACGTGAGCAAGTGTGTTGCGAATATGTCTGTTGCACGAAACCGGCTGCTGTCGACGTTCGGCGTCGCCCGGCGTTACGCCACCGTCGCCGCCGCCGACCGCGCGCACATCGCAGGTATGGGCGTGCAGCGCGCGTGCTCGACGTATAAAAAATTGAGGAATGCGACGTACTGGAGGTGAGCCTGCGCGTAATGTAGCATACGTTTTGTATGAATTTGCATAGTCAGGCGAAATGTATCTAAGATGCGCAAGATGCGTTCTACGAATAATTCTCTTTACTGTTTGCACTACACATCTTTTTTTTTAAAGATATAATTTTTTTGTGATGTTATCGTTTCTTATCAGAATTCGCGACACCAACTTATTGAAACGAAATTTCACCTGTATTGCCATTACAATCACTGAAACATATTGCAACTGCGATCATGTATAGTGATTTGGAATATTAATAATTCATGCAAAGTATGACGTACAAATATGCCATACCATCTCGTATAGAAATTCGTCTGGTGGCAAGACATTTCGAAATGACTATATGAAAAACTAATTCTAATATAGAGTTACTACAGATATAAGCATGAAAAAGCGAAAGAAAGTAAACATTCGTAAAAAAAAATCTCGTAGAAATATCTCAGCTAGCAACGTCTAAAGACGTCACTTTGCTACCTGGGATGTCATAGGAACAAGTAAAAATCCTATATGGAGGAAAATAATATTGCTGTTGTAGCGAAATTGTTGTTTCTACTGCATATTAGTAGCGACAGTAAAAATTTAGTTAGATATTATAAATTTTTCGAATTATTCGTTATATTAAAGTAGAAACAGTTTCGTCGTTAAAATAAAAACTTTTTTCTCATTGTATTTATTCTTATAAGTATGATACTTTGCTGTTAGAGTAAAATAATATACTCTTAGCATATGCATTTATTGTTATGGCAAAATCACTACTGTTGATGCAAATTCGTAATAACAACGAAAGAAATTCATTACCATAAATGACTCTTTATATTGTATTAAGAAAGAACAGATGCGCAAATAAAACAGCAGTTAATCGCGTAGACACGAGACGTAGATACGTATTCGCTGCGATGTGTGATCGCGCATATATAGGCTGTGGCCATACACATGCAGCACAGAAAGTTGAAACAACGTTGCTGAGATGTTGTAATGTTGAATGTTGAAATATACCCAGACAGTAATGTGTCTGAAATTTTGATAGCAAATTACTATCAAGTTGGGCAATTTAATTGAAACAGAAATAGGACAAGGTGATTTCTCAATACGCGGACAAGATGCGAACAAGTTCTGATAACAAAAACATGATGGAAAATTTACAGCAAATACGTTGCAAGTAATTACAATAACTGTTGCATAAAGAATGTACAATATATTGTTTTCATATTTTGATTCTTTTGCCAACTTGTTTTGCTCTATCAACCCTCAGGAAAAAATACTGTTAAGAACTGTTTAAAAAATTGTAAAAAAACTGAAGCAAATAATATAGAGAAACTGTTTAGTATACTGTAAAAATCTCGTAGTTAAAAAAAAAGAAATATTTACTCAGTACTGGTCAGATGCGAACTCGAAAATTGCAGATACCTCCCAGGTTTTTAATCTATCACCTTAGCTGCTGCGTTACTTCTGATACTAAGGGTGCGTTCGGGGAGCACGCTATCATCACTACATTCTTCTATCTTTATCGCTCCTTAGATGTACAACAAGGACAGAATAACACGGTAGCGCTGAATAGTGCTAATAGCGAGTTCTCCGAACGCACCCTATGTGTTCCTTATTGTCCTTATATGTAGCCGAAGCAGTAATTTTAATTTTTTTATAATATTATTTAGTACAACTACAAAAAATATGCTATTTAGTTCAAATATTTCATATAATAAAATAAAAGTCAGAGATATATGCATAAAATATTTATATAAAATATGTTTATCTAGGTGTTGACTATGAACGCTTTGGAGCGCTGACTGAAAGATGAATATTGATCTCTACGATTTTTCAAAGCATTTGAAGCAGTGAATACTACTTAGAGTTAATTTTATTAATAATATTTTAATTTAATTTAATTATATTTACTTTCTTAATAAAAAAAAATCGTTATATATTGTATAATATTTTTCAAAGAAACGTACAAAACCGTCAAAATACCTATCAGAACTAACTACAGAGCACATCTATGATACATCAGCTGTCAGTTGCGTTGATGCTATACCATTCCCCAGATCGATAGTCACTAAAAAGTTTTGACCAGCCGTGTCCGTTTCTAGCTGATCGTTTTTCATGACTGTTGATTCATCCGGCAAGCGGAAATGTGTCAAAATAGAAGTGACATTTTGACAGCTTGACGTTTCATACATACATATTTTTATCAGAAGTTTATCCGCTCACATGTAACGCGCAATCAATAGAAGAAGAGTAAGAATGTTAAAAAAGATAAGTAAGAAATTTTTACTTTATTCGAATAAAGTAGAATGTTTATTAATAACGAATAATTTGAGAGCAAATCGCGTGAAAATATTAAAAACAGAGACCCTTTGTGTCGGTATGTGTATAAATTTATTATAATTTTGTATATTAACTTCTTACTTATCTTTTTTAACATTCTTATCCTTCTTCTACTGATTACGCGTTACACGTGAGCGAATAACCTTCTGATAAAAACACGTATGTTTGAAACGTCAAACTATCAAAATGTTACTTCTATTTTGACATATTCCCACTTGCTGGATGAATCAACAGTCATGAAAAACGATCAGCTAGAAACGGACACGGCTGGTCAAAACTTTTTAGTGACTATTGATCTGGGGAATGGTATAGCATCAACGCAACTGAGTGTACATGTAATTTATATCTTTTGCAGCTTATCCATATTGTTCACTTCAGATCTGTTGTATGATTGTTGTGAAGAGTATTTGTGGAGTTGTTACTGTCACAAACTGTTTGCTAAAATTTATTGTTTGAACAATACTGTGAACGGTTGTACATCAATAGTAACTATCAGAGAAAAGACTTTTTAAAACTATAATAACTTTATATCTCTGGCAAACTACTACAGACCAATAATACTTCTGAAACTTGTCATTTTCCAATAAATTTATAAAACTATCAAACGCTGACAGTTATTGATAGATCTGAGGCAGCAACGTCACGTCATTTTTTTTACGTCGATGAATAGTGATTATCAGTCCTAGATATGTAACCAATAGCTGACGTTTAAAAGACGTGATTATTTTGATGTGATAATAAAGTCATTTAAAAACATTTATAATTTTTGAGAGGTCATTTTTAGTCAGCTGTTCCATAAGCAAAAAATGTGACATATATTTACTTAATGTTCATTTATATCAAATGTGGTTTATGTAACCAACAGATTATTATTTATACACCTTGTTATTTATTTTTTACGTGTTTGTATCTCAAGCATTTGAGTCCTAGGAATAAGCCTTACAGAACTTGTCCTATCATTTTTTACTCACTAGTATTGCATCGTTGCAACTATCTAGTTAGTAGGATGATGTTCAAAGATATGTTAATGAGAAAATGTTGACACAGATAGCACAGAGATAAATAGAAGTTCATAGACAATTCTCACAGATAGGCTATCTGGGTTAATTTGTATATTTTTATATACAGGGTGTCTCACACTCTCTTCCGGGCATTTTGTGGGGACGTAGAACAGGTTGCGGTAAATGAGTTATAATAGCGATGACTGCCGTCGTATACTTATACTTTAGGTCAAATTGAACAAAAAAGTTCTCTACCATTTTGCAAATAATCACAGATTTTTATAATAATTAATAATCATAGATTTTTAATTATTAATTAAAGAAAATGAGTGCATTATCACGTAAAATCGTGCAATAATCTTCTTTAATTAATAATTAAAAATCTATGTGATTATTTGGAAAATGGTAGAGGAGTTTTTTGTTCAATTTGACCTAAAATATAAGTACACGACGGCAGTCGTCGCTACTATAACTCATTTACCGTATTCTGCATGATTATTTACAAGTTTTCTACATTTAATATCTCGATAATTATTGCGAATATCGCAAAACAGTATAGGATTTTTATGTTCACCTCAATCTGTTATACGTCCCCACAAAATGTTCGGAGGAGACTGTGAGACACTCTATATATATATATATACATAAATTTAATTAATTTAATTAAATCTTAAATGGTAAAGTGAATTTTTTAAAAATTAAAATATACTATTTTATAATTACTCAAAATTTGTAATCTTTTATAACTTTGTCTATTTAATAATAGTTAACAATAAAAAAACAGTTAATAATAAAAAATAGTTTACTATAAAAGTTTAAAGATAACGAAATGGAATGTGCGGGATTTAATAGATCTTACTTCATTAGAGAGAGCTAGAGGTTAAATTAACAATAAAAGTACGAAAAATATAATTTTTATTAATATTAAATCATTTTATTAAATCATATTATCAAAAAATTATGTTACATTATGTTAAGTACAACATATATAGGGTAGTCCACCGAAAACGAAACAAACGTGATTTTTGGCATTTAACCTAATTTATTCGAGAAACGCTTGGAAAAACGTCAACTTTAATTTCTAGGGGGACATATTAATTGGCTATTTCCGTATGCTAATCTTCAATCCCAGAGGAGCTGATTTCACCATAAAAATTTTAAATGATAAAAGATGTCTAGGGACATACCATTTGAAAGAGCGATTAATTCGCTTTACAATAGTGTTTTATTTTTTTAATTTTAATCATTATTTCCTGAGTAATTGTAACAAATCAACAAATCATGAAAATAAAAAATTATGAAAATAAATGGATGTGTAGTATTATTCTAAGTGTAGAATGATTCGTCTAAAGATCCTAGAGACCTTACGCAACTCAACCAGCTTCTGAGAATTCGTGAGAAATTACTATTATTAGCTAATTTTATTTATTATGTAGTATGTTTGCATTAGATAGACACTCCTTATAATAAAGCGTTGATTTATATATTTATATATAAATATATATAAATATAAATATTTATATATAAATTTAATTAATTAAATTTATATATAAATATTTATATTTATATATATTTATATATAAATATATATAAATATAAATATTTATATATAAATTTAATTAATTAAATTAAATTTTATATGGTAAGATGGATCTTCT